CTTTGCCGTTTTCTTGTTCTCTGTCTTGGATTTTGGTGGGGGTTTCTTTTCGGATTAGGTTGGTAATCTTATTTCTTTGGAATCCGTTGGATGTTAGTACATTAGTGAGAGTGTGTAGTTCGGTTTTTAGGTGTTGTTCGTCAGCTAAGCATTTTGTTCTGGAGATGAGTGTCTTGGCTACGGAGTTGATCTGTGCTGGATGGTGGTGTGAGAGTGCGTGCAGATAGCGGTTTGTGTGTGTTTTCTTCTGGTAGATGGTGTGTCCTAGGGAGCCATTGGATTTCTTGTAGACTAGGACATCCAAGGTACTTTTAATTCTACGCGGGAGAAAACCCGAATAACTAAAGACCTACATACAAATACCCGCGAAAACCTCAGAAAACAAATATATATATATATATATATATATATATATATATATATATATATATATATATATATATATATATATATATATATATATATGCCGATTTCCGCCTGCTAGGGGACCCTAAATGGGCCTGAAGTTGCCCCGTAGAGGCAACAAAGAAGGAAGGAAGTCCCGCCGATTGCAGAGAAATGGCGGTCAATCCAATCGGTTTGGGGAAAGCCCTCCAGAAACCAGCAGGAGAAAGGCTAGCTCAGGGGTCGGCAACCCACGGCTCTGGAGCCGCATACGGCTCTTTCATCCCTCTACTGCGGCTCCCAGTCCTCCTCCGCCATTTGCAGTCCCACAAACAAAAGAAGTGGGACTAAAAAAGTTCAATCAATTCCAACTTCTTGCAAAAAAAAAAAAGATCTCGCGAAGTTGGAATTGATTGATTGAACTTTTTTAGTCCCACTTCTTTTGTTTGTGGGACTGCCCACAAACTTCTTTTCTTTTTGGGACTGCATGTGGCACGGAGGAAGAGAAAGAGGACTGTGGTAGACCTGGAAAGAAGGTGCTGCGTGGGTCCGATCAGGGGTGCGGGGGGGGTTTTCTACCAAGCATCTTATACGGAGCTGGGGAAACGGGCTGGGTGGGGGGAGCTGCCAATGCCACTGCCATGAGGCTCTGCAGAGCCCTCTGAGTGGCCATGATCCCCACTTCCCCAGCCAGCCACCATAACCGACCTACTCGTCACCTGGCCAGCCGGCCTTACACTCTTCTCCTCCTCCTCCTCGTCCTCTGCACTCAATCGACTGCTAGCGTCTTGGATGGCTCTGCTCTGTCCGAGTTGAAGAAAGCTGCTTGCTGCTACACCTCTGCTTTCTTGAGTGTGGAGGAGGAGGAGGAGGAGGAGGAGGAGGAGGAGGAGGAGAGCGTGAGGCCAGCTGGCCAGGTGAGGAGTAGGTCGGCGATGGTGGCTGGCTGGCTGGGGAGAGGGGGATCATGAGGAGAAGATGATGCTGGCTAGCTGGCTGGGCAGGGGTAATCATGGTTGAAGAAAGCGGAGGCACAGCAGCAGGATTGCTCGCCTTATTGAGAGCAAAAAAACTCCATGAGAAGTGATAAATGAAGGATTATTGGATTTACAAAATATTTTCTTTTAAATTTTGAAAGATTTTTGTTTTGAAACAGATGAACAGAAAGCTAGTTTTTTGTTTGTTTTTGTTTGTTTTTGAAGCAGTTACTATCTTTAAAAATTCAGGGAAGACTTATAAATGTGGCTTATTTTATCAGAGCTAAATGATATATTGGAGAGAGAGAGAAAGAGAGAAGAGGGAGGGAAGGGAGGGAAGGGAGGGAGAGAGAGAGAGAGAGAGAGTGTTATGTGGTTGTCCTTACTGGACTTTTAGTAAAGACCGTTTAATGAAATATTTTGATGTTTTTTTAATTAAGAGATGAGATATGAGGATAATTATGCTGTATTTAAAGATGGTAGATAAGCTATTAAAATTATTTTTACCTGTTGGGATGAAGTAGAAAGGGTTTTTTCCCCTCTTTCTCCTGTCCTTTTCTTTCCCCCCCCCGCAATTTTTTTCTTTTCTATTTTTCTATTTGTAGTTTTTATAGTTTGCACCAGCTTTTATTCTTTTTGTTTATAATCCTTAATAAAAATATTTGAAAAACAGAGAACATTGTAATGAGAGAGAGACAGAGACAGAGAGACGAGACAAGGAGAGATAGAGAATAACCTGCTATAATCATGCTGGAATGAAAGGTTATGACAGCTCAGATTAGATTGCAGGTTTCTCTCTATGAGTGTGGATCGTTGTGAGTCCTCTGGCTTTCAGAGGGTGATGAAGTGGGTAAGAGATGCAAAGAGAGTGACTGGAGGAAAATGAGTGAACCTGATCAAGTACAATTAAAGTTCTTAAACTTTTCTTTGTAATATTGATAAAGGTGGTGAAACATTTTTATGTCCATGTTAAATTCATGAAGAGCTGGCTGGCTGGGGAGGGGGGATCATGGTTGAAGAAAGCGGAGGCACAGCAGTGGGATTGCTCTCAATAAGAGCCGGGTGTGCTGCTCGCTCATGTGCGCCGTGCGGGGGAGGTAGGAGGAAAAGCGGCAGCAGGGTGGGGGAGGTAGAGGGAGAAAGCAGCAGCGACAGGGCGCTCCGTGCGGGGGATAAGCAGCAGCAGCGGTGGAGTGCTGGGGGGGAAGCAGCAGGGTTTTGTGGCTCATAGTGTTTTCTTTTCTGTGGGAAACAGGTCCAAATGGCTCTTTGAGTGTTTAAGGTTGCCGACCCCTGGGTTAGACTTTCATTAAATGGTAATAGAAAACAGATAAAAAAGCAGTCCTGAGTTAATGACTGGGGGGGTGGCATATAAATCTGCAAAATGTATGTATATATTTGTGTTTATTGTAAAGCTAGAGCGATGATTTCATTGTTCTGGGGTTGTAGGGCGATAAATTTGAATAAATATGTTTTTGTTTGTTACAGACAGACAATACTGGTTGTTTACATCATGTCATTTGTGGGTCTGGTTGTTTATACTTTTACCCTGGATCTAGGTCATATCTGGGTGGTCTTCATAACTGCAGGTGTACTGGGGTAAGTTCACTTCTCCTTTTGGGTTACTTTTCTCTATGACAGTGTTTTGCTACTGTCTGTGCTACTGAGATAGTTTCCACTTGATCTGCAGGGTATAAGAAAGAAAGGGAAGTTAGTAATGATCCTCTTCTCTCAAAGAGAACAGACATATAGTAGCCATTGGAGGTTTTCTTATTTCTGTTAAATGAGGATTCTAAGAAATGTAATTCTCATGATCCTGTGAGACAAAGTGTTAATGAGAAGCAAGTGGGGTTACGCTTTTGAGATTTAATTAAAATGAACGTGGAGTAGCACTGTCTCTTTAAAACACCATGGACATAACATTGCATAAGTGCTGAAGCTGAAGTATTTCCTACATCTATTCTGACAGCTTTTTCATGACGGGTTACCTACCTCTGGGCTTTGAATTTGCAGCAGAGTTAACATATCCAGAATCTGAAGGAACATCATCAGGCCTTCTTAATGTTTCTGCACAGGTTAGTTTGAGAAATGTAGCAAAGAGACATTTCTAGGTCTGGTTTTGCTATTCTGCAGGAATATAGCACCACCTGTTGATGAATCAAAATATTCTGTTATCCAGCATAGTTTCCCTAAAATTGGCTACTACTGCTTTCCAAACAAGTTTGTAGATGACAAAAGTTACACTTCTCTTCCTTTTACAGTAATACAGTTAAATACATGTGATGCATTTTATTAAATATAATTCTATAAGTTGTCATAATACAATGCATTCTAATAATTCTGACTTCATTTATAGTCAGGCACTAGTAGTCATATGGGCTGAGATACTGACTTGATAGTGTGTTTTATTACTGTTGAGAACATTGGAGATAAGCAAACTGGTGAACAACTGTATCTTGTTCAGTTTTTCTTTAATATCTCTTTTATCTTGTGCTAGGTTTTTGGAATAATTTTCACCATTAGCCAAGGACAGATCATTGATAACTTTGGGACTAAAGCTGGGAACATCTTCCTTTGCATTTTCCTGTTCATTGGTGCTATTATCACTGGTAACTACACTCTTCAAATATTTTGTTACTTATTTCTGCAGAGCATGTGGGTTACTTTTGCCTATAAACTTAACACGGTCAGCAGCTACATTAATAGTGAAATGCTAGTGTCTCTAGAAGACGTAGGCCTCTACCAAAATTTGATTGGTTTATAAGAGGTCAGGAATAAAGTTGATATCCCTTCTGTCATTGCTTAATTGAAAACATGGCCCCTGTTAAAAACGTATGGCCCACAAGGGCTCTAATTGAAATCCCTTTCTGAAGAAATTACCAGCTAAAAGGCTAAATGGAGTATGTTGTAATGCTTTATCCATTCATGGTCATATAAGGGCTTTTGAGGATTAAAAGAACTCCTGTTTAAGAAGGGATTGCTGTAGGAGATTTGGCAACTGTCCTCTATTTTGGTCACTGTCACATTGAATTACAGTAACACACTCTATTTGAAGTTGCCCTTGAAAGTTATTAACTTAAAATTGTCTTTCCATTATGCTTCAGCTTTCATCAAACCTGATCTCCGAAGACAACAGGCCAATCTGGAGAATGAACAGGCTGTGAGTAAAATAAAATATAACCTGTAATTTATGTCCACTATCTCCAGTGATATTGCTGTTTTCATGATGAGTAATTGGGGTAGTATAGGAAGTTTATTGTTTGAAGAAGTATCTCAGATGACTTGAATGTGCCAAGTGTGGATTCTGAAGTTGAGTGGGGCTCAGTTTTCTTTAGGTTAGCAGATATGTATGAAGGGTGAATGGGTCAAGTGAAGTGGTAGACGGAAAAAGTTGCAATTGGAAGGAATGCATAGTATTCTTAGAAAGAGGTGAGTTTTTTAGAGGGAAAAGTGTATAAAGCTGATATAGATGTAATGAGATAAGGGTGGTGTGCACAGATAGAGAATATGGACAAGTATAGTGAATGATATTGGTATACTTTAGATTTAGCTTTATTGCCTTCTATTTTTCTTATTTCATGCTTTAATTTCTTTGGCTTAGTATTTCTTATTCCTTTTCTGCACTTTACACAATATTGCTATCCCAAAAGGGAATAGTACAGTGGGCCTTTATATATGTAAATATGGAACTTTTTATAGAAGTATAGTCCTACATTAAATAAGAATTACCCTAGGTTTTAATGGACATGGATATACAATTGAGAAAAGGCAAAAAAGAGGAAGGGACTGGCTGGAAGGGCTATAAAAACAAGAAAGCAAGTAATAAATATTCAGATAAATGATGTCAGATTGATGTGGAGAAAAGGATGGAGAAAAGCCTCTTTTCTTGCATATTAATATGCATGCCACTTGCATATTAATTAGCCAACGCCTCTGTCACTAGGCTATGAAATTTGGATGTTAAGCCCACACTTCAGCGACCGAAGAGAAAGCTTGGTTATGCCTGGATTTCTCAGTCATAATAGTCAGTAAGAAAAATATCTATAGCCAACATTTCCCAGGGCAATAATAGTCCTGCTGTCTCTGAGAAGATATTGAGTCATTATTTATGAAGTCACGGTATTAATCGTGGCGGGTTATATATTGCTTTCTTTCCTCACAAGAAAAGGAACATCTTTGAAAGTGAAAGGCCTTTGGGTAATATGAATTTATATATATTTCCCTTTTTTTTGAAAGAGTGATAAAAATTCCTTAACCAGAAAAACCTTATGGCTTTATAGGGATGGAAGAATGCTCTTTCAAGAATATTTATTAAGAAAAAAAAATTGTAGCTATTTGCCACTAATTGGCAAAAAAGTACTTTGTACATTGTCAATTAACTGCTTGGTTCTCCAAAGATAATGAGGAAACAAGGAGGACTTGCTTAAACTCAACTATTGCTAGTTCAGTTTAGGATGATAAGAGGACTACAAGTGTTATCAGTCATAAGACACTGTATAGTATCTGCTTTTTTCTCTTTGGTGAATTTTCTGTATGAAAAAAAGTGAGTAGTGGAAAACCAAGTGCATTATAAATAGAAAACAGAAACACCTGGATCTCCTGTAAAATTCTGTGAAGGAAGTGAGGTACTTATACATTAAAAACTTTTACACTATTTGGAAACATCCTTAAAATTGTTTAGTTAGTAAGTTCCACACTTCAATTTTTTCTTCTTCTTCCATTCTGGGTCTAGTGACCAGCTGTGTTTTAACCTGCTAACTAAGAAAGCATATCTTCAAATAATAGAAAATGTAATAGAAAATGTAAAGAGAGATGAAAATTATGTTCTACAATGTACCTGCTGTCTTGATATAGCAAAAATTACTCTTTTTAACTGCTAATCTTTGTTTTGCTTTTGTCTAACTCAGGGGTCTTCAAACTTGGCCCTTTTATGACTTGTGGACTTCAACTCCCAGAATTCCTCAGCCAGGCATGCTGGCTGAGGAATTCTGGGAGTTGAAGTCCACAAGTCATAAAAGGGCCAAGTTTGAAGACCCCTGGTCTAACTATTGGTAGTTTATTTGGAGGAACATGTCCATAATTTAGAAGACTTTTAACTATAAATAGATGATTCATTATACAATGGGCATCATTTCACCTGTCCTCCCTTTTAATGATGTTTAAAGAGTAGATTGAAAGCACCAAATATAAATATTATTGATCTCTTCCAGTTTTAGGATTGTTTTAAGGAAAGACTATTGTTATCTAGTAGTCTCCCAAAATGCTAGGATTCTACCCATTATAATGATTGGGTGTAGTGCATCTGAATTATGACCTTTCTTTTATTAATGTACCCTTTAAATGAATTTACCCTTAAGCATTCTTGTGAATTCTGTTTCAAATAATACTCTTTCATTGTGTAATTTTTTGAGTATTATATATTATTATTATTTCAAATATGCTCACTACTTGACTCCTGATATGGAATTATGCTACTGAACTGTGAAACAAATGTTTATTCTGAAATAAATGGCAAACAGAAGAGAACAGACCTAAAGGTGCTTTTTCAAAAGGCAATTGGACTTTGTTTTTTCCTTAAAGATGTTTCACTTATCATCTAAGAAGCTTTTCAGTTCTGGAGCAACTGAAGAAGCTGTTGGATTAGAAGTAAAACGTCTTGAAAGAGAAAAATAAAGTCCAGTTTGCCTTTGGAAAAAGCACCTTTGGGACAACTGTGACTGAGAATCTCCATAAACAAAAAGAGAACAGAATTTCTCTGCAGTAAATTTTGATTTTGTATTAATACTTTAAGCCTGAATATTGATAATTAAAATATTGAGATTTAATTTAAAAAAACAAAGATAAAAGTAGCTCTTCTCTTTTTAAAGGTAGAAAAAAGTAACAATAACTTGAGTCATACCACACTGACTACATAAATAAAGCATTCCATTCTTGGGAATACAATGTAGGTAAATGTTCTAGGAAGAAATTTTAATGATTCAAAGAGCTAAAAATAGGCCTGAAGAGAAACAATGCAGTATCCTTCATTACCAATTGTGCTGATTTTTGGAAAAATTTTTAAAGGTGAGGTCTCTCCAAAGTGGATGAAATTGTCCACAGAACACAAATATCATACTACAATTCACCAGCTTATTTTGCAACTGTGGTATAAGTGCTTCTATAAATGCCCATTAGAATCTTTGCTATATTATTATACCTGTTCAGATTGAGGGTAATGTGTATGGACATACAGCTCTCATTCTGAATTTGCTGTGTTTATCTTAAGTGATGTTATCACAGGATAACGTTTGGTTAGCATGGAATGGTGACACATTGGCCATGTTAGCACAACAAGAGGAGTTAGTATATTGAGTGAAAAGCTAAAGCTAGATAATATTGGAGCAAGAATTGCTTTAGTTTCATTGCAAAACAGATTGGGAATTGTTGGAGGCTAACCTGTTCTAACTTGGTCAGTCATCTTTGACATGGGAGAGGGAGTAAACATGGATATTTAATTATTCTCTGCAAATCAATGTATTTAAAAAAAGGACAGAAAATGGTATTTCTTAATTTCTCTGGTGGCAGTTAGGCCACTGTTGAAAATAGCCATGTTCCATGACAGGGGCATAAGTGAATATGTGCTGTTGGGATGTGACAAGGCTTATCCTAGGTAAGGTCAGCTAGGTCACGCACATAGCTTTCACCTATGTTTAGGATATCATTTCAAAAGCGATGATGGAAAATATATAAGAATAATGGGGGAGACAGGTAATACAAGTCATATGAAAGAGTGAAAACACATATGTTTTGCAGAGGATCTGTTTTGTTCTGTTTGAAAGTATAATTTTCATACTGAAAATTCAATATATGAGCATTTAGCAGTTCTAGGGACAATGAAATATCTCCACATGAGATACTTCTGATATGGAGAGGCATCCCAAGCCATGGAAAAAGTAAGCTCGGAAAGCCAAACATCATACTATATAATGTTTTCAATGATCCATCCTAAGGCTGAAGTGGTCTTTAGTTCCATTTTTATCTAGTTATGAAAGGATAGCTGTGGCTCCCTGCAGCAACATCTTTTTATTCTGTTCTACCCCTTCATGGGATTGTGACATTTGGCTGTTTTGCAGAGACTCCAAAGCAGTAACAGTCAGATAATGAATTATGGACTTTGTACCTTATCCCCATCATTTCCCATCCTTGCTCAGTAATTCACAAACCAAAGGTAGGAGAATCATATTAACCTGCTTGGCCAATTGCTTATGTGAGGCTGCAGTAGCACCAACCCAGTGACAGAGTCTAGCACTATTATGGGGAAACTGTACTAAACGTGTAACAGTTAAGGTACATTCTGTGAAAAATCACACTAATTGTTCACCAGAACTGATAGAACAAACATTGTAGTGGTTTTTAAAATGTTTTTAAAGTTTTTATCCACATCTGAGTGTTTTTAGATTGTTGTGTGCTTTTAATTCTTTGGTATGGCACCCAGAGTCATCCGTTCTGTAAGATGGGTGACTATATAAATTTGCTAAATTCAATAAACGAATGAGCAAATGGCAGGAGGAAAAGAAGGATGGATTTATATCCTCAAACAATTTTCTCCTAAGAATTTTTTTCCTGGAATTAACTTTTTTTCATTCACAGTATATTAAAAATTAATTCTTACCTCTTTACCTTAAAAATTCATTATCTGTACATCCTATTTGCAAAAATGTAGAGGTGCTGCAAATCTCATGATTCTTGAAGCACTGAAGCATATTTAAAAGACAGAGTTGTTGTTTTCACAGGCATTAAATTTATAGATGCCTTTTAGTTCTAATTTCACCAGGAAATTTCAGGAAAGCCTTCAGCTAATGGATATTCAATGCAAATGAGATTCATTCAAAATGAGACCTTAGGAATGGATTTGGCTCCCAATGTAGTTTTAAACAAAAACTACAGACTAGTCTATGTAGTCTTTCTGTCTACGAAGGAAATATTAAATCTTTCATATAAATCAGCCCCTGGATTGGTGTTTTTTTTTTTTTTAACTACTGCAGCTCACAAAGCATTTTAATTCATTCCTCAAAGAGATCTTCTTTATTCTGCTTAATGCTTTGGACTTTTTGTGCTCTGGGCATGCTTAATTTGGTTAAACTATATTTCTCTTTTTCATATTTTGCTTTCCCTGGTCCATATTTCTATTCATTTTTATTGCTCACCAATCTCAAGTAGCAGTTCCTTACAGCAAGGGGGAAAAATTAAGCGGTAAGCAATTGCTAATATTGGATTGAATTTCAAAGTACTTAGCCAGAAGGTGGGGCTGGTGATGGGGAATGCTAGTTTTATTTATATACATTCGCTTTCAAGTTCACTTTTGATTGGTGAGTTGTCCAAACTTGAACTCTCATGTATCTTCAAGGTTGTATTTCTTCTGCTGTAGAAGATGAACAGTGAAATTGAGGACATGTGTCATCAGCGTTATTTTTAGTGCTGCTTTTTACAAAATAAAGCTTACGAAACATGGCTACTGTCTCAGGGTACAATCTTCGCTTAAAGTCAAAATGTAAAGTTTTTTTAAAAAATAAATCTTGGCTTAATCTTTTTCTAGTGTTCTAGTTGTAGGTAATACTTTCTGTTTTGAAAATGAATATTTTTGTAAAGTAATAAAGTTATTTTATTTTTCCTGCCCTAAATCTTGATTTTCCATAATGAGGCCTAAAAAAGAATCCCTTTAGGTATTTGTTTCTAAGAATCGTAAAATATTGTTTAAATAGTATTGTATGCCAGCACAATCGATTAGTGGCTTAATGACTGCTACTTTTCATGAATAAAAGTGAATATTATTTAAAGTGTTCTTTGAACCCAAAGATTCAGAGAGTCTGGGATATATCTATTCATCAAAATATGACCACTTTAAATGATAATAGAAGCAAAGAGTATCAGTTTTAAATGATGTGGTTTTAAACTTACATCAGATTAGCAAAATTGCAGCAGGGTGGTGAGCTAGAGGATAAGCCAGAAAGTAGTAGCATTTTAGCTTAAGGTTTTTAGATGCTAGGAGTTTTTCTGCAGCAATTCAAGCAAAGCTGCCAAATTCTACCCTTAGTGTGATAGAGAAATGCCGTCATATTGTCCCAATTTGTGAGACACAGGGGATATATATTGGGTTTCTGCTTAACTAAACATGAATTGCTCTTGTCTCTATAAATCTCACCAAGTATTTTGCATTTCTTTAGCTAGAGGTGACAGGCAGCAAAATAGCATTCTTATTTGACAGAATAAGATTTTTCATGACTGAGAGTGAGTGGGCGGCCATATAAATGTTCTTAAATAAATAACTTTAGCAGAATTATTGATTAAATCTGTATGATAAATGGTATGGTAGCCTTAATTCAACATGCCAACAAATTTCTTGTTTACTACACACTCTGATTTCTCTAATTGTGTATTTTCTCTTTAGTTCCAGAAATCAGTGGGAGTTGCCTCAGACCAACATTGCACTCCTGTTTGAAGAATCAAAACATTAAAGACTGTAAGCGGCTGAAAAGATATTGCTATTCCTGCTACTACTGCCTTATGTTCGTCTCTCTACCATCTATACTTCCGTTACCTATGGTTTGACCAGGAAACAGTCTACAAAATAATATTGGATTACTTTTTATGTTTCTAAAATTTAATAAGAGTCGACTTCTTCGAAAAGACAGGCCAAATCACCGTCTTTTACCTTCTCTCGTCAACTGAAAGGAACCGTGAATATTTGACGTACTGACCTAGGTCACAACAAAATAATATAAGCCACACTTGATTCTTGCGGGTAGACAAGTAGGAAAACGCACCGGACATCTGAAGCAGATTTGGGCGGGAAGTAGATCTAAAGGAAGATCCTTGCTCCTTAGGGAGAACCAGAAACACTTGCTCTGTGAGCAGCCCTAGTGGAAGTGCAACCATTGGTTTGTGAATGAGGAAATTCACTATCGGTCAAAACAAAAGCAAAGATGGCTTAGCTTCCTTTTCTTTAAAATATCTATTTGTACTGTAAAGTATTTTTGTGACCCAAGTCCAACAGATATTTTTAATTAACTGATCAGTATTTTAAAATGGGGATTATGTTTTTTTAAATAAGGTGGTGTTTTAGAAATATTATTGGATAACTGATTTTTAAACCATATTTGAGAAATGCACCTTTATCTGTTTTACCCCAACATTATTGCTCTTCAGCAGTATGACATTGCAACGCCACAAGCTGCAGAAGCAGAAATTAAGCAAGAGCTCCACATGGCTTTCATAACATTTTCTGCAATATTTTTCTCATAACCTCTAAAATCTCTAAATATTTTCTCTCAAGTCTGTACTAAATAGTATAGTGTTAATTGAAAATTAACCACTGTAGTCAGCTTTGAGGGGTGAAGTATAATTAATGGCTTATTTTTTCTTTTATACTGCTATATCACATTTCCCTTTCAAGGAAAGAGGGACTAGGTTAATTAAATTGTAGATCAGGGCTTTTCAACCTTTTTACCGATTGTACCACTTTTAGGATATGGCAATATTCGAGTACCACCTAGCAAGGTGTCAAAAACTTGATGACCAAAAAAAAAACCCTGTTCAAAGTTGCAATTGCACTGAAATGACTTATGACCATTTTTCACACTTATGACCATTGCAGCATGCCCAGTGTCATGTGATTTATATTTGGATGCTTGGCAACTGATTCATATTTATAATGGTCACAGTGTTCCAGGGTCATGTGATCCCCTTCTGCAACCTTTTGACAAGCAAAGTCAATGGCNCTAATGAAAAATACAAAGATTTTAAATTATTCTCAGCTGAAGAAGCTTTTCTGTCCGGTTTAGTGGCAGAAAATGGAAGAGAGCAGTTGACTTTCCTTGGCACTTATAAACTGCATGACTGGATCCAGTGTTGTTTTATTATATTCGGTGTGAACTAAGAACGCCCATCTGTTCATCCTTTTGCGTGGCCTGTAGACTTTGCAGATTTGGGCGGGAAGTAGATCTAAAGGAAGATCCTTGCTCCTTAGGGAGAACCAGAAACACTTGCTCTGTGAGCAGCCCTAATGGAAGTGCAACCATTGGTTTGTGAATGAGGAAATTCACTATCAGTCAAAACAAAAGCAAAGATGGCTTAGCTTCCTTTTCTTTAAAATATCTATTTGTACTGTAAAGTATTTTTGTGACCCAAGTCCAACAGATATTTTTAATTAACTGATCAGTATTTTAAAATGGGGATTATGTTTTTTTTAAATAAGGTGGTGTTTTAGAAATATTATTGGATAACTGATTTCTAAACCATATTTGAGAAATGCACCTTTATCTGTTTTACCCCAACATTATTGCTCTTCAGTAGTGTGACATTGCAACGCCACAAGCTGCAGAAGCAGAAATTAAGCAAGGGCTCCACATGGCTTTCATAACATTTTCTGCAATATTTTTCTCATAACCTCTAAAATCTCTAAATGTTTTCTCTCAAGTCTGTACTAAATGGTATAGTGTTAATTGAAAATTAACCACTGTAGTCAGCTTTGAGGGGTGAAGTATAATTAATGGCTTATTTTTTCTTTTATACTGCTATATCACATTTCCCTTTCAAGGAAAGAGGGACTAGGTTAATTAAATTGTAGATCAGGGTTTTTCAACCTTTTTACCGATTGTACCACTTTTAGGATATGGCAATATTCGAGTACCACCTAGCAAGGTGTCAAAAACTTGATGACCAAAAAAAAACCCTGTTCAAAGTTGCAATTGCACTGAAATGACTTATGACCATTTTTCACACTTATGACCATTGCAGCATGCCCAGTGTCATGTGATTTATATTTGGATGCTTGGCAACTGATTCATATTTATAATGGTCACAGTGTTCCAGGGTCATGTGATCCCCTTCTGCAACCTTTTGACAAGCAAAGTCAATGGCAGAGTTGCTGGTGGCCAAGTGCTAAGGCGGGACTTCCTTTCCTCCCTTCCTTCCCTGCCTCCCTTTTTCTCATTCCCATCTCCTTCTGAAGGAAGAATTTGAACCCCCCCCCCCATATTTTTCCTCTTCCATATATTGATCAAATAAGGAAAGGCCTCCAGAGACAGAAAAGACAAGCTGCTGAGTGAACTAGCTTAAAAAGGCACATTCCCACTGGTTGAAAAGCCCTGTTGTAGATGACTGAGTGCCTCTGTTGTGTGGAACAAGAGATGCAACTTAAAAAAAAGCCTGTAAA